TATGCGTAGATATATGGATGTAAAGGAGGCGAAAGAGGTATGTCAGGATCGTGCCAAATGGAAGTCCGTAGTCTCTGCCTACCCCTCTGGGTGACAGGCGTGAGTGTTTATATATATATATTTTTTACTTCTTAAAATCTGATACTAAAATTTTAAGCAATAAAAGTACTTAAAAATTGAGTGATCTTTGGTAGTATAAAGTTTCGTAAGTACCTCGTAAATTTCTTTTAAAATTACATCCATATCGGCACTCTCATATGTAGTGCTCCACGAATTACGTACAGAGTTGCTAAGTTTCGTGTAAACACTTTGCATGCTGTTTTTTACTGCAAATACTACTGTGATTTGTTCATCGGCTGCTAATTTTCCTATCATACTAACTGATGGATAATCCATTGATAATTCATTTGAATAAACATTGTTTTTCATGTAGCATTTGCCATCGTAAGGCTTTACAATACCAGCTAGTCTCCCGTCACCAGCCGCATGATATGTACCATCTGTAAGTAAAACAACAATTTTTCTAGACTGTGTTCGCCATCCTAATTCTTCTTTGCATACCATTACTTGTGCCAGAGCATCTAATCCTCCCTCGGGTGTATCATAATTTTGACCTAAAGGGACCTCATTTAAAACTTTCTTGAAATTTTCATAGCTTCTTGTGAAATTTAAATGATGTTTAAAAGAATACGTCAAAGTGCTGTCATAAAACCTGGAAAATATTTGAGAAAATTTTATAAAAGCGTTGCTTCTTATTATATATAATATTTATTTTAGCGTTCTACTTGTTGGTCTAAATATGTTTTACTTACGTGTTAAAGGGTATTGCATTCTTATCGACAAAAGTACCCAGGCCCAAAAATACATTACTCGTCAAGTTACTTATTGCGAAATATATATTTTCACTTTTATTTGCTGTCTTAGATTTTATATCGGCCATGGACAAAGAAACGTCGATTAAAAAATAAATATCCACAGGATAATCCTTTGCAGCTTCGTAAGAAAAATTGAAGTTGATTTCCTGTCCTATACGCAATTTAACTTTGTATTCTTGAGGTCTTATTTGTACAGCTTTACCTAAGTCTGAACTAAAAGATCTATCGTCAGTTTTTATAACAGAATTTTTTGGACTTATCGTATGGTTTAAGCACCAATTTTCGTGATAAATTGATCTGCATCGAAGTTCACTCCAATCTTCCTGTTAAACAAAACGTATGATACGATAATTTAATGATATCTTATTAATATCTAATTTTTAGTGATATCTTATAGGGGGCTTCAGTTAGTTATTTATTGATAAAAGTTCTTAATTAAATGAAAAAGGAAAAATTAAATACCAATAAATAAAAATGTAGTTATTGTGTATGTTAATAACTTTTTAAACTCAAACAAAGCTAGTAAAAAGGTGATATCATCCTCCCTGATTTCAGCCACGACGAAAAATTCCGAAGGTTATCGGTATAGGAAATTTCAGTACCACAACCACAAGTTATGTACGCATAAACACGATTACTCATGCCCTATGTTTAGGGTTGCCCACTCTACTAAGTAATATTTATTATAATATTATGGGATTCTTCGGCAAGTACAGTAGCGAGTTAACTTGCGAACCTGGTGAGTTAAGTAAAAAATCTCGTTTGACCGGCAATTAGTGAGTTAAGTAGCAAATTAACAATTAAGTTGAACGGGATAGCCGGCCGGTCTATTTTTCGACGTGTCGAGTCGAAGTTCGAAGTGTTACCTTCCCGCGCATCTCCCACCATCCACAACTCAACTCACCGCTCTTCTGAACGAGCGAGTTTAGTTCAGCGCATAACTAGACGCAATGTGTTTGCGTTCGACCCTCAAAATATGAAAATAATACTTTTTTTTAAACTAAACTCGTCTCGAAGTTTCGTCTAAAATACAATTGAACGCTACTGCCCACTCAAACATTTACTGTCAACTGCCCTGTAACTAAACTCGCTACTGTACATGTCGAAATGTAAATGGGCCCTTATTTTAATTTTGATTAATTATACTATAGTATGAATTAATATATATATATATATATATATATATATATATATATATATATATATATATATATATATATATATCACATAATCCAAAAATCTTTGGATATAATTCTAAAAAATATGCAGTAGACGAGAATGATAAATTTAAAACAGCCTGACTATAGTGTGAAGCTGTTAATAGAAGCTTAAATCAAAGCAGCAAAAAATATTCCTTTCCTAGCATAATTTATTTTTTTTATATTTTTCACCGTATGTTATACTTTTACAGGTAATTTAAAAATTTAAACTGCCTTTACGATGCAGGAGATAATCCTAGAATGGCAGCAGCGTTTTTAAAAAGAAGAATAAGAATTAGTTTCGAAAATACTATATTCGAAAATATTATATTTGATATTTAAGAGTTGAGAACCCTACCAATATTATACGACAGGATCAGAGGAAGGATAGGTTGCAGTCAACAACAATGTGTTTGCATAAAAATAGGCGGTCCCAATATTACTATAGTATTTTGTGGGCATTAGACTAAAGCAAGGTTTAGACGAAGCCAGTAACGCTGGTACCAGTCCTCAGACAAGCCAGCGCGTTGGTGGCGGGGTTTTTTTTTTTTTTTTTTTTTTTTTATTTGATGTTGTTTGCGGTTTCAGCTTCGTCTAAACCTTGCTTAAGGTCTCAATGTAAAACTTCTGAGGAAAAGTTGAGAGCGTGTGGCGAAGCGTACAAAGTGATATTGTGTCAAACACACGCTGCTTAATTTCAGTATTCCGAGTGGCAGGTGCTCTAGTGGTATGGATTACACACCGCAATGACGTACACTACTCTTTTCCAAATCCCAAGAATGCGAACTGAAGCTGCTAAAATGAGAAACTGAGTACGAGCATGCAGTGGCGAGTTAGCAACCGCAGTTTTTTTATTTTTAGTCATTATTAGGCAGACGGTGCTGCCCATCTCCTGATATGTTTCCCTCTGCCGCCTCTTACGACACCCACGGGATGATACGGGGTACCTAGTTGATGTTCTTACACCGCCACTACACGCGTTATATACAATATGTAACGTAATTAAAGCACACCCTCAGACACCCCAGTTAGTATATATTATGTTATAATCATAATATATACACTGAATTTTTAGTTAATCATTTTTAGGCACTGATTACTTATCAAATTAGTTATCCTAATTCCGGAAGAATGTTGTGGTCACAGTACAAATCCACGAACGCAAAGACTTTAACGCGCTTGAAATACGAGTAAAGTTCATTTTTCTTTATTTTTATTGAATGACAGAATTAGTAATAATACAAATAAAACTGCAATGCTTAAAAGTCTTATTGCCTTAAGTTACGGTCCATTTCAGTTTGTTTTGACTGTACAGATTTATTGTGACTGTAATTTACTTAGTTTTAATTATTTTTGGGATAAAAAATTACCTATATACTAAAAATGATAGGAATCGATTGAGTAAACGATTCTGAACAAACTACTTTCTCAAAGTGCGTTAATTATGTTACATGTTGTATAAATGGCAATGTTAGAAAATAATTATTTAAAGGACAGAAAATATAAGTGTAACCAAAAAGTACGTATTAGTTTTATACGTATTTACAACTTTTTTCTTAATTTTTTATATTTTTATATAGATTTAACGATAATTAAGTTTATTATTGACCTTTGCACACCAAACGCAGTTTGTCTTCGGATCCCCGATGCACTCATCACAAGTATTGTAATTTTCACATGGATCTATTGTTAAAACATTGCAATAAAATAATTGTAATATGACAATATAAGTTGGTTTAATATACATGTTTAAAATGAAACCACCACTGGCCGAGTGATTCAAATGAGGAAAATTTTATAATGATTTTGATCGACTTAAGGCAGAGTTATTTTGCGATGATTTTTAAAAAGTAAACTAGGACATTTATTAGTACAAAGGAGAACAATCATTCAGCCATTGAATAATATTTTCTAAAAAAGACATTGCGGTAAAACTACGACGCTGATCTATACATACAAATAAATAAAATTGAAGTCTCTGTTTGTAATGTCAAAATAACTGCTTTTTACTAAATGCATATGAAACTTATACAGTACTTATAACAAATAAACAGAATACCAGCGTAAAATAGTAGCCTAATGCTGCTGTGTTTCGTATGGTGGTGTAGAGAACCGGAGACCCTTTTTACTGGAAACGAGGCATTCCATCTTAGTCCTCACGGGTGACAACGCATCTGCATTTTGTTTTGTAATTAAGGATACATGTAGATGTCTATGGGCCGCAGCAACCACTTACCATCAGGTGGACTGTGTGCTCGTTTGTCATCCTATCCTATATAAAAAAAAAACAATTTTTTAAATTTTGTCTGTCTGTCTATTTGCTCCTGCTAATCCCCGAAACTCCGGTTCCGGTGGGATTCATTAGCAGATAGTTAATGTTTTATGGCTACTTTTATTGTAAAAAGAGAATTAGGGTTCAGGGCAAAAAAATTAAAACCCGTAAAATCCAATCGTATAAAACCCAGGCGGACGAAGTCGCGGGAACAGGTAGTTTTCAATAATGAATGAAATTTAAGAAATAAATATTCAAGTGCAACAAAATAATGGGTATCTAATATTTTTCACACGGATCTATATATATGCCGGAGTAGGATATCAAGCCTACTAAATTCTAAAACCTTAACTCATAAATAAGAAAAATAAAACAGAAGCATATTAAATATCATAAAAATACCTGAAATAAATACCTATACTGTAAATACCTGATGTAATAAATAAAATAATTTTATGTTAAATCATAGGGTGGCGATTCGCGTCGCGATAAAGACAGGATACTGAGACGGAAGACTGCAAAAAGTGTCTCGGTCTCCTCTGCATGTACTGTGGGTCGAGACCGAGACCGCAACCAAAGCTACAATTCATTCAGTATCTGAGACTCAGTCGATGGAGTCAGTTGTGTTGTACTGTGTTATTAACTAACACTGTAATGGAAATCCAAGTAGCACTTCTATTAGAGGATGAAGAAGACGATGATTTTCTGATGTCTCTGTCGCGTCGCGACAAACGACCGAGAAAAGAGATTGAGACTAGAGACCGCTACCGTTACTTGACTTTAGACACTACTGTGTCTCGTTTCGTGCTTGTAAATCACGTATGTTAATTGTTAAAAATGATTACTTTTTCTGACGAAGAATGTGAAAAGCTGATTAAACTGATCAGTGTCCTCCGATATATGATGCACAACTAGTCTCCTAAAGAGCCGAAAATTTAAAGGCCAATATTTGAAAATCATAGCTGAAAAGCATCAACTTCTTCTTCTGCCAATAGAAGTTCTACTTGGCTTTCCATTACAGTGTAGATTAATGACACAGTACACCGCAACTGACTCCATCAATAGACTTTCGGATACTGAATGAATTGTAGCTTTGGTTGCGGTCTCGGTTTCAACTTACAGTACACGCAGAAGAGACCGAGACGCTTGTCGCAGTCTCCTGTCTCAGTCCGCCACCTTAAGGAGTCATCGTGCGTGAACTATTTTCTGTTACAGTATGCAGTAAAAAAAGAAAAATAGGGATTTTGGAAAAAAGTACACAAAGTAGCATCCTTTTATAGACATTGTAGAACCATCCTGCAGCTATATTAGTAGTATAGTTGTAGCACGAATGGGTCGCCTCGACCGGGGAAGGCCCACGCTCCCACAGTATACCAGCGTGAAATAGTAGCTTAAAACTGCTATGTTTCGTATGATGAGTGTAAAGAGAACCGGAGACCCTTTTTACTGGAAACGAGGCATTCCATCTTAGTCCTCACGGGTGACAAGGCATCTGCATTTTGATTCGTAATCGAGGATAGATGTAGATGTCTATGGGCCACAGAAACCACTTACCATCAGGTGGACTGTGTGCTCGTTTGTTACGCTATCTCAAAAAAAAATGCAAATGATCATAATACAAATATGGAGTTGATTGCTCATCGTCGTAGCAAGTATGGTAAACAAATAGGACCCCTATCTTCGTAAACTTCTTTTTTCTCTGTTTATGTTTAATATTCGTTTTTATAATAGTTTGGATACTACAGTAGGAGAGGCCTACCTCCAGTGCAGTGGTAAAATATTGTAGACTGATGGAGGTGATGACGAAAGTAGCGTTTCACCTTAATTATTAAGGATAATTACTGTTCACTATAATAATAGAACATTTTCCGCAACGGAAGTAACCTATATTTATATTCCGAGAATGGTGAGTTGAGAGCTTTTTAATTTAATTTGGCTTACTGATCATGAGAATGCAGAAAAACTCCGAGCGTAACTCTTTCCATAGCTCACTGAGCTTCCTTGAGCTTCCTAAGTCAACTAACGGAGAGGGACCACGTCTCATATTCATATCATTAGTAAACAAGAATTTAAATGTACTAATAAACGGATGTAAATGATAGATATCTTATCTACATAAATTTAATCTGTTTTTGTTACAGATGAAACACGAAACTTTGTTTTGATCAACTTATAGTATTACTTGTGTTTTAGTGTAAATTGTACCGATAGAATTGTTTTTTTTTTTGAATAGAATAAGGGTGACGAATGAGGACATAGTGCACTTGATGGTAAGAGGATGCTGTGGCCCATAGACATCTACATCTATCCTCGATTACAAAATGGAATGCCTCTTTTCCAGTAAAAAGTGTCTACGGTTCTCTACACTAACCATACGAAAACAGCAGTATTAAGCTACTATTTGACGCTGATATTCTGTGAGAGCGTGGTCGAGCCGACCCATTCGTGCTACAACCAGAATATAGTTGCAGCATGGCTCTACCACGTATTGTGAATGTACCAGTTTGGTAGATATGCGATAGGAACGGCATGCCCCTAACATTCTTAATGTTTTTAAATCTACCATCACATATCATCAACTGTCCCAGGGGGTCCCAATCTTTCTTGTAGTGGACAATTATGTATTTTTAATTTTTATTGCATACTGGGTAGGCGAGATAGTGAGCGCATAGAATAGAATATGATAGGTTAGAATTAAATAGGGTAGGACCATAGAAATATTAAATATATCTATGGGTAGAACAGTATAGGACAGAATAAGATAGAATAAGTGAGAATATTATCGAATAGAATAAAAAGACTGTAATGCTGCCGATTTTATTAAGTGCTAACCTAAACTGCGTATAATGCCACTAAATAACTAAACGTGGTTCTTAAACCTATAATTTGTGTTAGTACCTAACAGATAGCAAAATTCTTTCTAGATATGTCAGATCCAAATACCTACAAACTAGTCATAGGCAGTAGCACTAGTCCGATAGTTTATGCACTGCGTTCGCCAAACCGTCTAACGAGCGTGGTTAGTATCACAGCATTTTTTTTTTTCAAAAAACTGAAGTGATGAACGTTCTTACGGTATATCTAATGGTAGGTAAGTGGCTGTTGTACTCCACAGATACATGCAGCCAATTTTAAACAAAGAAGGCTACAGAATTAGGGTTGCCGAAATGGTCGGGATTCGTCTGCATTCTCCCGATATTTCAAATGATCTCCAGACTCCCGACAAAAGTCAAAATCTCCAGACAAACAGCTTCTCGGAAAGTTTAGTTTTACGGCCTTTGATTTAATAAAAGCTGAGTTAGTAATGACACTGAACTTTGAAGTAAATTATTTTAATTTTAAATCTTATCTAAATACTACTAAAGGATCCAAATTGGTGGATTCTTGTAAAGTCGATCCATGGACCATGGACTCGGAGACCCTTTCAGTTTCCAGTTCCAGTAAGGAAGCGAGGCATGCCATCTTATTCCTTAGGGGTGACAACGCATTTGCATTTTGATTCTTAATTAAGGATAAATGTAGATTCATGGACCACAGCATCCACTTAACATCAGGTGGACTGTGTGATCGTTAGTCACCCAATGCTATAAAAATGTTCGATGGAATGCCTCGCAGCTTGTAATTACACTGGCTCTCTATATTCTACTGACTAGTACACAGGAGTGTACGCTCTGTTACTTAGCGAGAGAAATATGTAAAAAGTGCTACCTACCAAACCGCGATCCTAAGTAGAAAATAGTTATATTATCTAGCATGTTACATTTTTTTATAGGATAGGGTGACAAACGAGCACACAGTCCACCTGATGGTAAGTGGTTGCTGTGGCCCATAGACATCTACATCTATCCTCGATTACGAATCAAAATGCAGATGCGTTGTCACCCGTGAGGACTAATATGGAATGCCTCGTTGGCAGTAAAAAAGGGTCTCCGGTTCTCTACACTCACCATACGAAACACAGCAGCATTAAGCTACTATTTTACGCTGGTATTCGTGCTACAACTATACTACTAATATAACTGCAGCATGGCTCTACCACGTATAAACATACATAATTTATGGTAGAATTATACATATTACTAGATAATATATATTATTAGATAAATACTTAAATAAATAATTGTTTTGTTTAACGTTTAAGTATTTAGAGATTTTATCTAATCTATAATCTAAACACCTTGACTATTGTCATGAATTTAGATATATTATGTATTTCGAAATAATAATCAGTATTCAAGTGATAAACTTGAAAGATTTTTACTAAATTTATTTGTATTTTTATGTCACTATAACTGACGATGAATTTTAATTTTTATCAAATTTTATCTCTAATATCAAATAATAAAATATATCAAAAAGTCTTAGAACCTAAGTTTGTTAAGACTTTCTGGCTTAGAGCCTTACTACCGATGATGATAAAACCAACGTTGGTAAGTCTGTGAGAAGCAGGCGGTTCTGGAGAAAGATAAGAATTAAGTGTAAATAAAAAGCGCTTCACAGCATGGCTGCTCTTGTTATAATTATAATCTATACAAATAAATAAAATTGAAGTGTCTGCTTACTGTGTGACTGAGTGACTCAAAATAACAGCTTTTTACCAAATGCATATGAAAATAAATACGGTACTTATAACAAATAAACAATTTTTTAAACTTTTGTCTGTCTGTTTGTTTGTTCCGGCTATCTCTGAAACGGCTGGACCGATTTTGATGTTACTCTAACTGGCAGATAGTAGTTTTAAAGGGAGTAACTTAGGCAACTTATACTTTAAAAATATATATAATGTACCGCTCAAAAAGATTAAAACCCATAAAATCTTAATCAATTTCACGGGCATGAAGTCGCGGGGAACAGCTAGTTTAAATATATTTAGATGCGTACATTCGTAAACAATTTTCGAAGTCATTGCTTCCTACCTCATAGTTACCATGAGTTATCTTTCGATAAAACGGATGACATTGCAGACTTACTAACAGGCTTATAAGATTATAACTAAAATACAAATGTTGTTTGAGAACGCTGATAGTAGGAAATAATATAACGTCGGCGAAAATTTTTTACGTATCTATTTGTATATGTATGTATATATGTACAAATTAAAGACATTTTTTTTTCAAAGATTAATTACGTATAATCATAATATATATGTCCCATTTTGTTCGATAACTTATTACCATCTTGTAGCTGACATAACCCGTTGCTGTGGAAATCTTAGGATTTTTGACCAAAGAAATCTTGGTATTTTTGACAAGTAGCTTTGATAGTCCTCTCTTGATGTTAATCCAACACGACCAAAGAATTCTGAGGAGATCGAAACAAATATAAATCTGAGGGTTCAAAGTCAGAACTATATGGTGGATGCATTAACACGTCTCAACCAAACTCTCAATTTTTCCTGAGTGGCCAATGATATGCGTGGTCTGGCGTTATAATGGTGAAAGACCACTCCTTTTCTGCTGATCAATTCCGGCCGTTTTTTCTCAACTTCATGCTTAAGTCTCATAAGTTGCTGCCAATAGAGATCCGAACCAACTGCTTTACCTGGAGGTAAAAAGCTCATAATAAACGATGCTCTTCCGATTCCAACATTATTGCGTGTTAATTCGGATTTTGTCACAGTCTGTGGAGCGTGACTACACTTTAACCATGATCTTTTTACACGTTCATAACGTAGGTGATCCACTTTCCATCACCAGCGATCAATCTTTTTAAAAATTGTTCGGTTTTATTACGTTTCAATAGACAATCGGAAATGAAGTACAAGATTCAGGTTTCTTTCACTGAGATCGTGTGGTACGTAACTACCGAGCTTTTTTGTATAGCCAGACTTTTTCAAATGGTTTAAACTGTTTTGTGGTCAATCCTTAACTCCTCGGATATGTCGTAACTACTAAAATGCCGATCTTGCTCGACTTTTTCAAAAATGGCATCGACTATATTCGTATGAGGGCTTGATCACAGTAACCACACTACAAAATTCCCGGCGTTTTCAACGCTTGAATCAACTTTGTGCTACTCTTACTGCACCTGCATTAGGTCCATAAATAATTTTTTTCGCTGCTTGAGTCGCATTTTTCCCTTTTTTTGTAATAAAACTTCGGATTGTATCGAATGTTTTTTATAGATTCACTTGTTTTGGCGGACAGAAAAACAATTGAAAAATGGTGGTAAAGTGTTTTTTTACTTTTTATTTTTTATTTATTTTTCTTAATGTCCTATTATGTTTTCTGTTCTAAATGTCCTATATATTTCATTCTTATATTAAAACCAGTCAAAAACACAACATACAATACAACCGAAGAGATTTTTCTTCAATTTTATACTATACAAATAAAATATGAAGAAACTTTTCACCGACCTACATATGTGGTAAACGACATTTTTGTCCTTTTAACTAACTACAACAACTTAACACTTTTAATCATTTCTCCCTAAAAAGTGTGAACTTTCAACGCTACGGAGAGGGCATCACTACCTCTTAAGTGTAGTTTTTTATAGAAGAGGGGGCAAACGCGCATGCTGCTCACCTGATGTTAAGTGACTACCGCCGCCCGTAATCAACCGCAATACCAGGGGAATTGCAGGTGCGTTGCCGGACCTTTAGAAGAAATCGCCAGTGGTAAACTATTCCACAGAGAGGTCGTGCGCGGAAGAAAACTCCTTGTGAAACGTACAGTGGTGGACCGCCAAGCATCCAGATGGTGTGGATGGTATCGGGACGTTTGCCACGTAGTGCGTTCACGAAATTTGGCGGCTGGGATTAATTCGAACAATTTCTCAGAGCACTCAACGTGGTATATGCGAAAGAAAATGCAAAGAGATGCAACATCTCTTCGTAGCGCCAGTGAATCGAACCTATCGGAAAGTATTCTGACGTCGACGATTTGAGCCGCTCTACGCTAAATGCGGTCAAGTGGAAGGAACTGGCACTGGGGAGCCCCAGCCCAAAGATGGGAACAGTATTCCATGTGCGGCCGAACCTGCGCCTTGTATAATTGCAGGCGGTGAGCCGGCATGAAATACTGTCCTGCTCTGCTGAGCACGCCAAGCTTTTTAGAGGCCAATTTGGCCTTCTCTTCCAAGTAACCACAAAACTGCACGTCACTCGATATGTCGACGCCGAGGATTCCGATACTGGCTGAGGCAACAAGGGGAATCTTGAATATTTTACACGATTTTTGATTGAATATTCAAAAGAAAAATTTGTAGACATTTTAATTATTATCATAGTAAATAAATTAATCACTGTCTTTCCTTCCGATTACAATCTGGTGGTCTCAAGGACGTCTACAAATTGTAATCAAGAGTGAATAGCCTTTAGTTACGCTTAGCCTAAAACAGTGCGTAAAGACTGTGCCATTTACTATCAAAGGTTTCATCACCACCAGGTGGGATTGAAATCAAGCATTGGCTTGAAATATCTTAGAAAAACTTATTAGGAGAACGAATATGTAATCTTTAAATCAAACAATACGAAGAAGAATATTTTAGGTCATTTGCGATAGTAGCTTATTTTTAATATTACAGATACTTCAAAGATAAAATGTATCTTTATAAAATTAACTCTTTAAACTGCTTATCGCTATCAGTTATCCACCTTTTATACATTAACTAGTGAGTACACATACATTTGTTCAGACAGATATTACCCATTGAACTATCTGTTCACTGTATAAAATATTATTACAAATGCCTTTAAAAATTAAATATTCTTGGTATCACCTATTAATATTGTATTTCTCAACATGTGTCGACGCAGGAGTTAATGTAATAGAAAATGGTACGAGTAGAACAGATCCAAGTATTATAGAAGATGCTTTTTTAGATACAGTAAGTTTATGAAAATTTCTTTAAGAATATGAATGCACTAATAACATTTTTAATACGTTTAATATTTGAGAGCTGACATTTTAATTAATTTATCTTTATATTTCTTTGCCTCCACCAACCTTTAGTACTATAATACAGTCTTTCTCGGGAAGTACGTAAAAATATTTTCCTAGTTTTCGTTCCATTTGTATAAGTTTAGGTGGATGATCGCATACCGCACGCATATTCAGCCTTTAGAAGGTTAATAAGGAAATCTTCATGTCTGAGATATTATATAAAGTGTTTTGTTACGTGGTAGAGCCATGTTGCAGCTATGTTAGTAGTATAGTTGTAGTACAAATGGGTCGACTTGACGGGAGAAGGAAGACACTCTCACAGAATACCAGCGTAAATAGCAGTAGCAGCTTAATGCTGCTGTGTTTCGTATGGTGTATGGTATGGTGGTCGTACGGTGGTATGTAGAGAACCGGAGACCCTTTTTGATAGAAACGAGGCATTAGATCTCGGTCCTCACGAGTGACAACGCATCTGCATTTTGATTCGCATTTAAGGATAGATGTAAATGTATATGAGCCACAGCAACCACTTACTATCAGGCAGGCTGTGTGCTCGTTTGTCACCCTATCTTATAAAAAAATATAATGAAAATGTCGGCGACATAAGTAGTATGCATATCGTAAATACTCATTGGGGTATAGCGCATCGGGCTCTTCCTTTATCCTAATCATCCTTATATATAAGAGGAGGACTGTGCTGAGCTATGGGACTGAGGCTGTTTTCCTTAGCTTTTACACTTTTTTTTATAGGATAGGGTGACAAACGAGCACACAGTCCACCTGATGGTAAGTGGTTGCTGCGGCCCATAGACATCTACATCTATCTTCCATTACAAATCAAAATGCAGATGCGTTGTCACCCGTGAGGACTGAGATGGAATGCCTCATTTTCAGTAAAAAGGGTCTCCGGTTCTCTACACTCACCTTACGAAATACAGCAGCATTAAGCTACTATTTCACGCTGGTATTCTGTGAGAGCGTGGTCCTTCCCCGGTCGAGCCGACCCATTCGTGCTACAACTATACTACTAATATAACTGCAGCATGGCTCTATCACGTATAATATTTATTGTTAATTACAGTTTACACTAATTAGGAAATATGGCTATCCTTGTGAGATACACAAAGCATACACTGAAGATAAATACATTTTGGAACTGCACAGAGTCCCTCATGGTCGAAACAAAACCAGTGCAGAACGGCTGCCAGTGGTTTTTCTCCAACATGGATTACTTTCATCGTCTGCAGAATGGGTCCTTATGAAACCAGGAAAAGGCCTTGGTAAAGCATTGTTGAGTTTTAAAATTATTATTTTGATAAAATTAAATGAACTTAACAAACTGCAGTTGCAAACCCGCCTGCCAAGTGTGGCAAATTTGGCGAAATCCCCCCTATGAGGCAACCTATGGGGGAGGCCTCCCCCAGTTCAGCAATGTAAATTTAGTAACTTTAGTCTGTCTGTCTGTCTGGGCTATTTTTCGAAATGGCTGAAGCGGTAGAGAGAAAAGGCTTTTTTTTTTCAGAAAAACTTGTGAAAAAGTGAGGATATAGAGAGTGAACCTGTATTTGCTCATATATACCGAAACCGAAATTTGGTCCGGAGAATGTTATTGCCATAGGGTACTCCCAAGTTATAATTAAATGTTATGTAAAAATAATGAAGTAAATCTAGCTACCTACATATTATGTGTCACGTAATGATGGCGTAAGAAATTTATCATCCCATTTAGTTCTTTGGGTCTCGTAAAAGTAAATTAGAGGAAATATTAAAAATATCTGATCGGTATAAGCGTTATTGTAAAATCATACAAAGGTGCAAGGTCCACTCTTACGACGAACCACCATTCACCTGCCGAGAGCATACATAGCATAAATAGCAGGATTGCTGGAAAGAATCCCCAGGGAGAAGCCAATGTCTGTTCAAAGTCAACAGTGAATTGTTTACAAACCACCACGATCAAGATAAAAATGAAGGTCGGTAGAATTCATACGAGAATGCACTGGTTTCAACAATTCTTCAGTTATGCAAGATTGTCATGTTATGTTTTATAAAACTGAATTGACAAACAAACTTACATCACTCCTGGTGGTAAGTTGACATTGACACTCTACAACCAAATTTAAATAAAGTAGGCTACAGACATGTGGTTACCTCTGAGGAGATCTCTCTAAGATTAGAACGCCTCTCTAGACCCTTCAGACCGGATCACCCAAACAGCAGAGCATTCAGTGCTGTTTTGTGGCAGAAATTAATAATAGTGAGGTAACCCAAACTGCTAGTATTCTAGTTATTATAGATCTCTGGAGAATTTCCCTGACTTTCAAGTATTATCTACTAAAAAGCTATGGCATATTTTACTTTATAGACGGATTTAATAAAATTCACCATCTAGAAACATGGAAGTGTGTTAGACAAGTTTGGAAAAGAATAGCACGAAACACCAGCAGTTAACATTACAAACTACTTTTGACCCCTGACCCCAAGTTCAAAAGTAGCTAAACTGTTAGATCTATTAACCTAGTATAAATATGAACAGTGGATTAATTTTGTACCGACCTACAACGTTCGGAGTTGACGGCTTCACTGTTTCATAGTAATTCCTGAAATAATCTTACCATTATGATTTCTTAACTTCACGCAAATACCACACATTGAATAAAACTATATTTACGGATTTTATCGCGTTTAATAACTTATTTTAATTGTCGACATTTCGGATGCTTTATAGCACACATGGTCACACAAATCCGTATATTCAATAATAATCTTACCATTGAACAACGTTGTATATTTTCACTGTGTAATAATATGATAACTTTCTTGTATAAAATTATTTTACAGCGTATATTCTAGCTGATGCCGGCTATGACGTTTGGATGGGAAACGCTAGAGGCAACACGTACTCTCGTAATCATGTATCTATGAACCCGACACGTTCAAACTTTTGGCAGTTCAGTTGGCATGAGATTGGATATTATGATTTACCAGCTATGATTGACTATACTTTAAAGGAAACAGGCGTTTCTAAAATTCAGTACATTGGATTCTCTCAGGGAACGACTGCTTTTTGGGTCATGTCATCCATGAGGCCCGAGTACAACGAGAAAATAACTGCGATGCATGCTCTTGCACCCATAGCTTTTATGGGGAATGTAAGAAGTCCCCTTATAAAAGCTATTGCACCTTTCACTAATTCTTTGGAAGTAAGTAAACTTTATGTATTGTATATGTAATTCATTAGTTGAGTGGTATAGCCAAATACTAAATAGTCCTCATGAATCTGGCTATTATATACAAAAAAAAACTCTTCCGCTTTGTTTTTTAGTAAGTGTAGATTTTTTCATTATATGGAGTGACCACCTGATAAGATATGCAGGAAGTCGGTGGATGCAGGTGCCTCAGGATCGTGCTTTGTGGGATTTCTTGCGGGATACCTACAATCAGCAGTGGACTTGTAAAGGGCTGTAACGATGATGATGATGATGATAAAAGCGTGTAACAAATGACCAGGTTTCTTAGTCGAATTGATAAAAATAAAAATCGAAGATCAAAATATCGAAGAAGGTGGACCTGATCTTAGTCACTATGGATATTTGAAGCAAATATTTTTGCACACTCCGTAGCAATAAAAAAATACCATTTTTTTTTTTGTTACCTCGCAGTGGCATATTTTTAATAGAACAAAGTGTAGTAATTTCGTAATTTAATTCAATTGTAAATCATTGTAAATCTCAATATAAGAAAATCAATTGCTGTCGGTTACTCTCACTATAACTCAAAACGACTCGACTGATTTTAATTAAAAAAATTGAGACTGTATGAATGAGTAGACAGGTGGTTTAGATTAACTTTAGACCCCGTAAGTGGTGCTTTTGTCGAGATCTAGAAATCACCGGGTGGATTAGTAGTTATTAATAATAATTATTTAATAATAGAATCTTGCTGGTTCTATCCCGGGCATGGGGGGTTTTTTCCGAACCAGTGGTAAAAACATAAATGACTTTCAATAAACGTTTCTTGTATTATAATCTATGCTGAATTAAGAAGCGACAGTAGCCTAATGGCAGGGCGCGGACCACGAACTCAAAAAGGTCGTGGGTTCGAATCCGCCATTCGACTACTGGTGTGAACCACTCGTAACACAAGCAAAAGCTTACCACGAGTGGTTAAGAGGAATATTAATAATGTTTATAGCATAGTTAATATTCTTTTAAAAAATATTCTGTTCAATTCTTCTTCATCATCATTATTGGCCCATAATAGTATCTGTTTGGTGATCAAATTCTATTGTAGAGGAAACTTGCTTTAACAGACGGACTTGGTAGGTGGCTCACAATATCCACCGGTCACCTCATTATCATGGGTTTGGGTATTTTATTCACCTTCTATTTGCCCTTATATTTATATTAGCCCTAATTAAGTCCGTATTTTACGTCTAGCTAGAGATTGTAATACAGATATCCGTTACGATAATATTAAAATTATATTGTTATCGGAAAATCTTAATATATAAACAAATTAAGGTTATTGATAATTCGGTGATAGGGTTTCGTGATGTAGATAAATAAAGTTAAACAGTATGGGATTCATGGGCTGAAGAAACTTATTCGAGCCAGCTAATATTTTTGTATTTTGTGAGAATAATAAATACGCTCGATAAGTTCTTAACACACAGAAAAATGGGCACATTAGTATTTTGCAATTAAATAAATTAGCAATTAAATAAATCATACAATTATTTATAAAAATCATTTTACAAACAGATCAATTTTCCAGGGGTTACTCATATTATGTAATCAATCATGTGTGAAAATACTACTGTTAATAAACTACGTAATAGACAGACCTTTTATATTTTCTAGAATTTAGTTGAAGAAGCGAATACATTCATATATATATCATGAATGTATTGTTACGAGCTTGCGGTTCGTGACAATATAAACTGCCGATAAAATTACCTAAATTAACACTTTAATTTTCTTTACACAAATTTAAACTTAAAACTCTAATAATTAATCATACTGATTCACTTTATTTCGCTCCGAAGCTTCGCTTGTCTCGCCAAATTCAATACTTCCCCGATCGCGTATTACAGCGCCTTTATATAGGGCTCTTCCACGAAAACATCCAGAATATTCCAGAATATTCGAGTAAATACGCGCGCCAACCGACCAAGCGCAGAAAGTTCGAGTTTGGGGGCTTCCATAATTCTTAGTTCTTCAATTCGATACTAGATGGCGCTGTAGGTTGAAAGATTAGTGATTTCATTTTCTGGAAAGCTCTCTCTTCGCTCTGTTACCCGACACTAGATGGGGCTATTGCCAGATGTCAACTTAGCCGCGCAACACTGCCCTCTCCTAAGACATGCTCGTCCCGAGCATTATCGGCCCCATAATAACGTGCCAGGCGATCCACATGGACGATCTTAGGAGTCCCTCTTGCGCCTTTCTGTATCCGGTAGGTTACATCGTTGATCCTGGTTACAATCCGGTACGGGCCGTCCCATTTAGCTTGAAGCCTAGGAGATTTCCCTTTGCTGCGGACTGGATTGTGCAACCACACTAGTGAACCCTCGTCGAAGCCTTTATTGTTCATTTTGCGGTCGTACCGGGTTTTCATCTTCTCAGACATTTGCCGGCCCGATTGTCTGACGTGCTCATAAATGTCATTCATTTTGTTCCGCAAGTCATTTGCATAATCGGTTATACTGCGTGGAGTATCAGGTGGTATCGCGGTGATCAGGTCTGCAGGCAGCCGTAATTCTCTTCCAAAGTTTGCGAAAGCTGGTGTCATTGATGTACTTTCGTGAACGGCGCTTCGATATGACAACAAAAACGGTTGTATGTGCTTGTCCCAATCTTGTTGCCGATTGTCTACAACTTTTGATAGGTACCTCTCCAATGTCTGATTAAATCGTTCTACCATTCCATCAGATTGCGGGTGATAAGAAGTCGTTCTTGTTTTATGAGTACCCATAACTCGGCATGTTTCCTGGAATAATCTCTAAAGGTACTCCAAAACGACAGAAGACTTCATGAACTAGTTTATCTGCAACTGTTGAAGCTTCTTGGAATTCGGAATGGCGAAGACTTCTGGCCACTTAGTGAAGTAATCCATCACAACCATGAAATACTTGTTACCGCTTTCACTCTCCGGAAACGGGCCCGCCACGTCAATGGCTATTCTCTCCCATGGTGCACCAACATTGTACAACTTCAATGCACCTCTACTACGAGTCTGAGGTCCCTTTACAGCCGCACAACTTGTACATTTGCGACACCAGTCCTCGACATCGTTTCGACAGTGGACCCAGTAAAACCGTTCTCGGATCTTCAGTAGAGTTCGTTTAACTCCCAGATGGCCTCCTGAACAATCATTATGGTACAGCTGTAGAACATCCAGTACTTTAGCTTTAGGGACAACTATTTGCAAATGACAGCTGTCTCCCCGAATATTTTCCCATTTACGACACAGAACTCCATCCTGAAGCAGCAAGCTGTCCCACTGGGCCCAATAGCTTTTAGTGGTCGAACTCATCGCTGAGACGTCGCTCCACTTGGGCTTGGGAGCACTGGCCTTTATCCATTCCAGAATCGGCTTGATGTCCGGATCTTCCTGCTGTGCAAGTAGTAAGCTGTCCTTCCACTCGTTGCTGAGGTGGTCTGCCCTGAGCATCCTCACGGATACTACTTCCTTACTCTCTTGTCTAGTACAATGTTTCCAATCTTCAGGACAAGGTCTTCTTGGCAATGCATCTGCGTTGCCATGAGATTTCCCGCTGCGATGTCTGATAGTAAAGTTGTATCCCGGCTGCTGCTGGGCGGTGATGTTAGCCGCACTTCCCTTCTGAGCTCGTTCACCTTCCCTTTGTAGGGTTCGCATAGGGCAGCTGGATCGAAGATGGCCCGTTTCCCCACAGCCATAGCACCTAGGGCTGTATCCTTTACTGTGGTCGCGAACCGTAACTGCTGCAACCTCCCTAACGTGAGGGGAACGATGATCCTGACGCCGCCAGGCGGTGCCGTTAGCTGCACTACTCTCTCGAGATCGATCAACTTCCCTTTCTACGGTTCGCTTAGGGCGGCTGGATCGAAGATGGCCCCTTTCCCCACAGCCATAGCACCTAAGGCTGTATCCTTTGTTGCGGTCGCGAACTGTAGCTGCTGCAACCTCCCTGACGCGATGGGAACGATGATCCTGCCGCACGGCTTCCACCTCCAGTGCATGGGCCAAGGCGTCCTTAAGCGTCTCGTGGTGCCCGAGCCTCACAGCAGCTCTGACTTCCAGGTCACGGATGCCGTCGATGAATGTCTGCACCAGGTTCCCTTCAGTGAGCGCAGATACAGACCGGTATGCTTTTCACACCAGCTTCTCCACCTCTAGAGCCCACTGCTGCAGGATTTCGTTGATGCGCTGCACGCGATCTTTAAGCTGCGCACGAAAGACGTGTTCCAGGTGAGCGTCGCCATATCTCGCCTCCAATGCCTCAAGGAGTTGCTCATAAGTCACTTCCTCCCCGAGAGCTTCCAGAACTGTTAAGGCCTGGTCGCGCAGGCCTAGTGTGAGAGCAGTCATGGCCTGACTTTTATTCCAGCCGTTCGCCTTCATAACAGCCTCGAACTGGATTTTGTAGGCTGACCAGGAAGAAGTCCCGTCGAACGGTGGGACTTTGAACCAACGTAGCGAAGGTGTAGTAGCAACTACGGGAGCTGTAGTTCCATCACCCAGTTTGAGGTCGTCCAGCGGTTTCTTCACGTCAGCCACCACGTAATCAACCCGATTGTTCACTTGGTCGATTTGGGTTTTAGCTTCCGACAGGCAGTTGTCATGTTGAGCAACCCTATCCTTCACCTCCCTTATCTCTTTCCCAAAGGTAGCATGAAGGTCCTTCATGAGGAGCATCTGCTCTTCCGACCGACGAGTCTGTTCCGCCTGCTGATCTTCCAACCGACGGGCCTGTTCCTCCTGTCGGCGGGCCTGTTCCTCTTGTCGGCGGGCCTGTTCCTCTTGTCGGCGGGCCTGTTCATCCTGTCCACCCCGCAGCTGCTCTTCCAACCGACGGACCTGTTCTTCCTGTCGGCGAGCCTGCTCCTGTAGCATCACCATCAGAGCACCTAAGTCAGGTGCTGCAGATGTAGGAGCTACTGACGGGCCCGCAGCCGGCGGCTGGCCCTCCGAAGTCTGCGGCGTTGCAGCACCAAACTTTGGCTTTGACTTCGGGTACGGACACCCTCCGTTTCCTCCTTAGGTAAAATCGGCATGATTTTATCCCACTTCTGACACCAATTGTTACGAGCTTGCGGTTCGTGACAATATAAACTGCCGATAAAATTACCTAAATTAACACTTTAATTTTCTTTACACAAATTTAAACTTAAAACACTAATAATTAATCACACTGATTCACTTTATTTCGCTCCGAAGCTTCGCTTGTCTCGCCAAATTCAATACTTCCCCGATCGCGTATTGCAGCGCCTTTATATAGGGGTCTTCCACGAAAACATCCAGAATATTCCAGAATATTCGAGTAAATACGCGCGCCAACCGACCAAGCGCAGAAAGTTCGAGTTTGGGGCTTCCAGAAAGCTTAGTTCTTCAATTCGATACTAGATGGCGCTGTAGATTGAAAGATTAGTGGTGTCATTTTCTGGAAAGCTCTCTCTTAGCTCTGTTACCCGACACTAGATGGCGCTATTGCCAGATGTCAACTTAGCCGCGCAACAGTATTTATTACTGACTCTATAGAGTCGTGTAACTGGAATATGTTTGTTCCTAGTGTTTGAAAAATGTTTATAATTTTTAATAAAACTAATTTTATTAAAAATTAAAAACTGATTTTATTAAAGAGATTTATTTTCGAGTTATATTCATTTTTTACTTTTCTGAGTAATAATAGTAGTAGTAGAGTAGCAGCTAGCTTTTTTGAAAGATTTTAATTTTGGTTTGATTTTAAAATATATTTAAATTTAAAATCTATTTGGGTTTTTTTCATAAATTGCTGTTAAGACGCTCTTTCGCGATACAAAAATATTTTTAAAACAGTCGCTCTTTCCTATAACAAAGTACCACTAATTATTCTTTGGAAATAACTTAAATAGACTAATCTCTTTCAACCCCAGTCAGACTTTTAACTTTTACAGAACTTATATCCAGAGCTTAGTCTTCTTTCTAGTTTAAATATATAAAGCACCCACTGAATCTTTGCGTTAAAAGTCATATAAAAATATTATTAATTGATTGCCTTTTTTCTAGCGAGTTCTGAAATTATTGGGTGCAAATGAGTTTTTACCCAACGGAATAGTGAACGAACTAGCTGGAGAATTACTATGTGTACAGGAGGCCGCAACACAAATACTGTGCAAAAATCTTCTGTTTCTTATATGTGGATTTGATAACGAACAGCTAAATGATGTTAGTATTGTCTTATTATTTTTACGAGTAACAAACGAATGAAGACACGAACGAAATTGGATTTAAGACTGTTGTTTGGTTCAAATTAGTTTGTTAAATAAAGATCATGTTTTTATCTCTTTTATTTTTATAGTATGTATTTGAACATCACATTGGAAGTAAGAAATTTAATATTTTACTACCATCAGTCAACGTTTGTACCATCAACATTCTCCGACGAATCATCCAGAAGAATTATCCTGAAAGATCCAAAAGAACTACACAACAACAAACCTATATTAGCTTCACTTTATGTAGATTTAAGCACCTTCTCTACATAGTCTTAAAAATACGCTTTCCGGTTGATTTAAAAGTACATAATGTGGATTTATACGGTATTATGTACATTATAAAGTACACTAACGTTAGGGTAATATTTAAAAATTTGTTTGATATTTATGAAATTTTGAACCCCTTGAATATTGTATTTATTCACATTGGAAATAAATTTTTCAGACAATGCTGCCAGTCGTTCTTGGTCACACGCCTGCTGGTGCTTCGACCAGGCAAATAGTTCATTTCGGTCAGTTATATAAATCCAAGAAATTTCTTCAATTTAATCATGGATGGTTGAAAAACCTATTGATTTATGGAAGTGGAAGCCCACCAGAATATAACTTAACCGCCGTTACAACACCGGTATTTCTTCATTACGCTGACAACGACTGGTTATCTACAGCAGATGATGTTGAAAAGTTGATGATAGACTTGCCAGCTGTCGTTGGAAAGTACCGAGTACCTTTGAAATCATTCAATCACCTGGATTTTGTTTTTGCCAATGATGCGAAAAAGCTAATTTATGATCGTTTACTAAATATTATGTTTCGGTTTACGAATTAAAAGGTGATATTTTATTTCAAATTTTTTATTTTATTTTATTTTACACAGCACAGGACACTCATTACTTTAACACTTCTTTGTATTTTTACTTCTAATATCTCATTTTATTACCTAAATAAAAACAAAAGATTTTATTTTAATAATCTTTTAAACAAAAGAACTTTAAAGGTAATAAGAATAGCTTACATGGTCTGTTTCTGAATGATTTGTCCAACACGATGATATAGTGGTACACGGGGCTAACTTGCAACAATTTGTATTTGTTTTAAAAGTAGCATACACATCTTGTTTCTTTGCAGAGTTCTGCTTTTTACTAGCATTAATCAATTCCTTTTTTACTATATTTCCAAATGTTTTTTGTACTATAAATAAAATACAGTGCTGAAAAAAATTCATTCAAAATAGCTTAAAAACACATATTGGGCTATTGTTTTAAATTTTACCTTTGTGAAGCAAAACGACAGGGTCCTCTTTTTTCTTTAAACAACCCTGTTCTTCTACAGTAAATTCATCCGTAGGTGTATTAGTTTTATGAACAACTTGCAACATACAAACGTGTTTGAAATTCTGTAATGGGAAGAATTTTTGAAACTAGAATGAATAATTTTTATTAAATAATAGTTATATTACATACAACTCTTAAAAGCCGGGATAGAACAGGGGCTGACCGCTAGCCGTAAATTGGGCCCCGCCCATATCATTAAAATTGTTAATAGCAATTTCATGTGCTGATTTATCACGTACTCTGCGGTGAAGGCAAACACGCCTGAGGATTAAGATCGATTTTCTCGTTTCCAGTTAAAACCCGTTTTTATTCAAGTTCTTTTCACTATCATAACAAATTGGTAATGAAATAAAAAAATAATTACGCGAAAATACCGTGATGGAGTATCGTTCCCCGGTCGATTCCTTCCACTCGTGCTGCGACTGGCTTACAAAATAAATATTAAAAATATAAAATAATTCCACCAGCTTCTAATGAAAGCAACGTTTGAGAGCAGTGTTAGAAGCACAAGACAATACTCGGATAATTCGGAAAAAACTGCTTTTCTGCCTAGGGTATGTCTGCGTAACACCACACCTGTTTCTGCCGCCAAGGAGCAATGCTTGCATTACTTTATTCCGATGTGAGGGTAAAGGACAGCCAGTTAACCATAGGCTATGAGGCACTCCATCTTAGTCCTCAGACGTGACAACATATCTGTGTGGTGTGGGGTACGGGTGGACTGCGAGTTTGTCACTTACATTTTATTTAAAAAAAGTCGCAGACACGGGAACAATCACAACATAACCTATACACCGACAATTTGTGTTTGCACACTGGGTAATGGCTATAGTCCGAATATCAATTAATGACTTGCGGTATGTAGCCGTGTGGCGGCAACTTGAGGGAATCCATTTAGTCGCTTAGGTATCGTAGGAGATATGGGAAATACCAGTAAATTCTTATGGTTTCCGAGATATACCCATGTCGTTTACGCCAGACATACAATATCCAGGCCGGCCTAGCGGAGAAGCGTCAAAGGTGTGAGACGACTCGTAATGCGATCGTCAAACTACCTATCATGTGTGACAATTAAGGCATATACTCCCTACAACGAAAGTGGCCCATGAGCAGCAGTGGACAACCACGGGCTGATGAAGAACAAGATGAAGATGTAATGGTGAAGTACTCTACCATTGGACTGATTTAGACCAGGTAAGCTAGGCTGTGGTAGTAGCGGCAGAGAGCAGTAAATTTTTATTGTACATACATATACCTATATCCCATATATACTTCACCTCATTTTTACAGTTCTTTAAAGTTATTATAACTTCCGAATTGGTCTTTTTCGTTGAATCAGCATTAAGGTTTTCTTCAGAACTGGTTTCAAAAGGTTTAAGCACTTGATTTACATCACAAACAGGACTTAAAGCTGTGGGAGCGTAAAGTGTCTTAAGTGAAGACTTTTTGCGCATTTCTTGAAGTTTGTATTTAAGAGCATCATTCTCCTTTTTCAACTCATTTACTTCAATAACTTGTTTTTGTAATTGTTCCTGTACTTTTTTTAAACAATATTTGTACGACTTAAGTTTCTCATTATAACTTATATTAAGAGGGTCACAACCAGCGTCCGATAACTTCACAGCACTTGTCAACGTACAGCCGCTATTTTTATTTAGTAAACTGCAGTTACATTCACTATTGTTTGGTTTAAAATTTAAGTTGGCTAGCTTATTTACACCGTTTAGATTTTCATTTTGCGAACTTGACACATTTGCGTCAGTATTTGCACTTTCAACTTGTTTCAACACAAAATTGTTGTTAGTTATTGGTGGAATAAAATTTTTTACAAATGTAGTTTGTTCTAATATTTCCTTTTGCCAATCTTTGGCTACATCGTGAATAACTTCTCTTACATTTGAATGATCTTCTGAAATAACTTCTGTTTTTGGAATATTTACTCCTAATATTTTATCTAATATTACTTTCCAGAACATTTTTATACTCTTCAAAGCGCTTAGGCATTTATCGCATGGCCAATGACCTGTTTCTAATTCTTCCTAAATAAGTAAAAATTAAATATATTATTTTACATTTTCAAAACATTTTTATTTGAAATAAATAATTTACCTCTTCAAGATATTTTTTAAAATTTTCATTATTTTTTAAACATTCTTTCATAGCTTGACATGATGTGCATATACTTTCAAGGAGCTTCCTAGACTTACAATCTGGATGACATCGTGGTGTTAGCTAGGTGTGAAAGAAATGTTTTAATGATGAATATTATCACAAGAACAAAATTATGATTATAAGTTTACTTACGCGGCTGAAGTGCTTGCAAGCCGTTGATTTTAGTAAATTGTTAATAGTAGACATAGAAAAGATGCACGTAGGCATATTGCACTTCATCCATTCCCTTAAGTAATTATCACGAACCCTTATATCATGACTCCATGCTCTTATATCAGAACATGAATCATAAGATTTTAATTTCCCTTCGTTACGAGACAACAAAATAATTTTTCCTTCATTAATGTGATTCATTGAAATCGTATAACTGTGTGTAGTTTATTAATCTTTATCCATACGAGTGTTGTAACAAACAATTTTGACGTGTAAAATTGACGAATAAATGAAAATATGAAATGACATTTGCAGTTTGCGTTCATAACCTCTTTTACAAAGCTTTATTTTAGCTTGACAAATATGTATGAATGTGACGGAATTTTGTGATGAAGTTTACACCCACTTCCAGGCGTTCCAACGCTCAGAAAATTATTACTCCGGCGATAAAAGCATTAAGATTTAAACGGGTGCCATGCATCACACCATTTCCACGAACATTGTACATCTTAATCTAATCTATAATCCTATGCTTTAAGCAACTGCTATGGGGTTTGGTGCCTATTCAGACCTCAAGTCTTTTATCGGCTTCGCCGATAACTTTAAAAGTAGTTTGTATCGAACTGGGCTCCATTTCATATTTATATTTATGGTAGGATTTTGCAAGTAGAGTACACTCATCTTATACTGTGACAAAACAGAATATTGCAAACAAATCGGGTGAAACTTAATCAAAATATTTATTTTATGTAAGAGCCAGACTTTTGTTTGCCGTATGAGCAAAAGTAATCATATTTTTCAAATAATAAACTTAAAGTAAATGAACTTTATTGTGTAATTCGGTGACAATCTCTTTAATTCGATAAAGATACTACTTCAATTGTGATATAACAGAATTAGGTGAGTTTTTATTTTTAATTATTACAGAATATGCCAAATTTATTCCAATTAAATATTATTTCACTAATCAACTAGGAGCTAAGAAAAACGAAATAAATTTGTAAATTTTTAATTATTTACACTAAAAAGTTTATGTAAAGAATAAAATGATTTTTAAATATATACTCTTATTATTATTATTCATGTTACTTTACTCTTCACGACCAGATTTTTCAATGCTTTCGTTGTGGTATTTGCCGATCTTTTACTTTTTGATCTTCTTTTTTAAAAGTTGTTCGGCGTACATGTCTTAAAGATACGTTTGTAGATGGGAAAAGATCTCTTTTCTCGTGTTTTCATATTAGTTTACATTTTGGTAATATTATTTAAAACTTAAACCGTAACGATCTTTAAAGCTCAACTCTGTCGGCGTCACATTGAACACTGAACTGACGTTAGCTAGGCATATGTGTAGTGGCAACGCTCTGGTGCGGTAATTACTAATCTAGTGCAATATATAAATCAATGCCTAAAACCATCTCAGAAATGAGCGGAGGCCTGTGCCCAGGAGTAGGACGTACATAGTCTGTATAAAAAAAATATAAGTTCTAAATAAATTTTTCTCATCATCATGTATTTATTGAAAAACTCATTTGAAGATTTATTACTTTCTCCCCGTTTTATTTTTTTATTGCTCAGTCAGAATGCGTCTTGGCTTTTGTTCATTGTTACAACACGTTGGTTCATTCAATTTCATGAAAAACAAACTTCCTTATCTGGTTTTCTGTCTTTGTCATAACACGAATTTTGCGATAACAAGGAGTTGTAAGCTGTTTTTTCGTGCTGTGACCGTTTGTTATCTTTGAGCCTTAAATATTCATATATACTTTAATTCAATACATTGCCCAACTGAAATAATATATTTATTTTACTAATAGGTACCTTAGCTCCGTGGGATAGATGAAAGATACATGATCATTAGATTGATACACAGATATAATCAGTGCCGGACTAACCTCGTAGCAAGAGTAGCAACTGCTACGGGCGCCGCGCAAAAAGGGGCCCCGAGTATCCAAACCTGCCATCCCATCACCGCCTAAGCGTAATAAAATTATTTCGTTGACGAAAATAAAACACAGAATTTCATACCGTAAACGCACAAGTTTCAACACCCATCACGCCAAAGGACTCGGCTCTCGTACTACCGATCATGCGGGAAGATCTGTTTACGACTTTGCCTTGGCATATGGTCTAATACAACTGGTCACTTCGCCCACCCGGATTCCAGATGTGAAGGATCTTACACCTTCCCTGTTGAACTGAACCTTCTGCTGACCTCTCATCCGGACGGTTATAAGGTATCCGTCAAAGCCCCTTTTGCCTTTTCGGATCGCTGTCTGATCCGTAGTACAGTGCCGATCGGGAGGTAGCCACCGCAAATAGGGCAGCGGATTGGGATTAGATGCGGGCTTTTTTCGCATAAACGAATGATGATGATGAATGATCCCAAAAAATCGTTGCTGAGTTTGTCGCCGATGTGATGCTTTTTATTTTTTATTTCATTATCTGTAGTGCCTATCTGCGGCAGATTCCAGCCTTGATTTGGACTCTCCTGCAAAAAAAGCAGGAGTGTTACAAGGCCTGAGCTGACGCATCGGTGTCCAGGGATGTAAACACTAGGGCATTCAAAAAGAAGTAAAACTCCGCCTCCAGGTCCCTCAAAAGAGTTATTGCTAGGGCAAAGTCGGAGCACATTTGGAGAATTGGCGAGAAACTAGTTGGCCTTCCTTCGGGAACTCGTGCCTTCTGATCGCTCGCCAAGACTACCCAAGTGAATTTCTGTAAGCCATCATTATCATCTTTGGGCAGGGAATATGACTCGCTGGCCCACGCTGCAAAGAAAAAAGCAGATCTTTTAGGCTATCTTTTTGCATCCAGCTCGACTCTCGACGACTAGGGGAACATACCTCCGACCACCTCGCGGTGTGAGTGCTCAATACCGGATGTGCTGTTTACACAGCGCTCGGTGCGCAAAACGTTCCTGTTTCTAGACGTTCACAAGTCGAGTGGGCCTTATGGAATCCCGCCAATTGAACTGAAGACATGTGCTCCATAGTTGTCACCGGTTTTTACGCGTCTTTTCCTATTCTCTTACTTTTTTGGCGTCGTTTCAGGCTCATAGAAGACAGCCTTAGTGCACCCGATCCCTAAAAAATGTGACCGCTCAGACCCGTCTAACTACAGGCCTATGGCCATCACTTTGTTCTCCGAAATAATGGCATCCATTATTAACTGCCGGCTCATGCGGTACCTTGAAGAGCATTAGCTGATGCGTGACCGTCACTACGATTTCCATCGAGGTCGCTTAGCTGGCGATCTTCTTGTCTAATTGACTCACCGATGGGAGGAGGCAGTCGAGACCAAGAGGTAGGCCACCAGTTTTTTATAGATCGGTGTAATAAGGTCGCAGTCGACGGTGCATCCTCCGACTCCAAGCCTGTGAATGCTGGTGTTTCACAATCCTGTTCCTTCTGCATATCAATGATGCGTTGCATACTAGTAACATTCATTGTTATGCAGACGACATACGCCGAAGCCAACCGTGCTAATATTTCTCGAGAACATGTCGTCGAATGCCGGAAATGATTTGTGTCTGAAGTCGAGTCTTTTTTAAACAAAGTCTTGTATTGGGGGCGACTAAATCTAGTCCAGTTTAACCTCCAAAAGACGCAAGTCTTCGCGTTTACCGCGAAAAAAGAAATCCTTGGTTGTATCTCCTCGATTTCATTACACCGTTGATAAAATATAACATTAGCCATTCCTAAAAATATAATATACTTTTTAATAAATATAAACTTAAATATGTACATACTAAAAAAGATTTACAATCATTTGTGTAGTATTGTCAGTTTTAAACGATTAGTTTCTTATCAAAATCATTCTCAATTGAAAGGACAATCTCATATCTGGCTTTTTGTACTTGTCAGAGTCTACAGTCTAATGTGCCCATAGTAAACTGCTGGTGCACTAAACACCAACGAAATTGTAACCTATAGATGGTAAATAAACGTATGGAGTATTTAATTGTTTTTAACACTTTATACTTAAGCACTCGTAGCAGATCAAGGTCCACTCGATGGAATTTGTTACAGGCCCCGCGCTTGCTTAATCCGGCACTGGATATGGCACGGCACGACAACTGACATCTTATGACTGTCCAGTTGTGATAATTCGTCCAAGTATAAAACTAATTTTTGGCTCTTGTATAGTTCTTAGAGCACCCAATTGTATTTACTTCGGGATTTCAGAGGTATATAGTATACGGTTCAAGACTAATATTTTTAAATTTAAGTAAAAAGTTAAGTTTAACCTATTCAAATATACTATTATCTATTTCTGATTATATGCTCCTTGTATATTTATGTCAACAAAATCAACATTTTTTAAATAATGACATTCGATTTGTAGACAACATTCCCTCTCGATTGATTGATAATTCAAAATATTTAATGTATTTGATATTTTAATATTTAACTATACGGTTTCATTAAATAATTTAAATTTTATCGTTACCCATAAAATGGCAAGCGAAAATATAGCACATACATGTCTTTCTATGTTTTATTGAATGCACACCTAAAGAGAAAACGTACAAAGTATAGTGATGTCGTTCATAACAAAAAGAGAACGCGTATTCAACGAATACGAACTTTTAGATTTACCAGCAAGAAATGAAGGAAAACTCAAAGCGTATGCATCATGTACAGATGCAAGGGCGTGGTCACATTTTTGTTCTGACAAAAGTGATCACTTGATAGAAATTATAAAACGGAATAATGAGACTTGTCGGCCGAAGTACATTCCCACTGACGTGATAGTAAATACATTAATGGGGGCAAAAAATGCAGAGATTAATCGTTTGAGGCGCAAAATTGAAGAATTTGAACAAATGCTAGAGGCTTACGATCACCTTGATCTAACACCTGATCAGAAAATGGAAATAGCGAACGCTGTTAGTACACAGAAATTATCAGTATTTATTACATTGAGCGACATTTTTAATTAAATTAAATAAATACGTTTCAGCACGCAGCTATAAAAGCCGCTAATAAGGAGCTTGATGATATGGTAAGAAATATACATACACATCGTGGAATTAAATCTTTATTTACTAAAAATATAAAAAAATTAATATCCAGAAGAAAAATAAATACGTGTGGCACTCGGGGACTGCCGCGGTAAAGCTATTGCATAGCATTTTCATCAACTTATGCAATTATAATTATTTATTTATTTTATTTATGCAGTATTTTTTTTCTTTGTTTTTTCTTTGATATTAATTCAAGTTACACTTTTTGAGCGTGGTGACCGATAAGAAAACAATTTTTTTTCTTTTATTGAATAAATGAGAAATTAATATTGTTTAAAATATTTTTATTATCTTACAATATATGTAGGTTATTTAGGAATTTTTATCATTGAAACTATAGGTTTAAGTTAATTAACGAGTTCTTCCAACAAACAATAATTTTCTATAAAGTCTGTGTTTATTAAATACTCTAAATTCACGAAAGTTGCTAGCATGACGACGACTCATATAAATCTAAAGAATATGCTTCTTGCAATAAACTATATTAATGTTTAAAATATTTTTATTATCTTACAATACATGCAACTAGTCTCCACGCATACGTCTAGTCGCACGCACACAAACACCGTGCCGAAGTCTGCCGAACTGAAACGGACGTTGACGATGTTAGATTTTGGGGTGTTAGGTTTATTTTCGTTACGGAATTTCTTGATTCGGTCGCCGCGCTCAAAGCCCGCGATAAAAGCTATGCAATAGCTTAAAAAACTGAAACTATAAACTAAAATTGTCGTACAATCATACTTCCCACTGTATAATACCGTGAACCCTGGTTGCATTTTCACGTGGAATGTGTGGCCCTCTGAGCGAGAAAAGATCCCGCCTTTTTATAAACAGCGGCGACGAGAAGTCGCGGATACAGTTTCTTCAATGCATTTGGATCTCACGGACCGATAGTCTACAGCTACAGATATGTTCAGCAGTGGACTTTAATAACACAGCCTATTAAACTCGACTGCTGAATATAGGCTTTCCCCATAGATTGCCTCATAGGGGCTATATTTGCCATAGTTGCCACGCTTGGCGAGCGGGCGGAGCGGAAGACCCTGCTACCCATTTGCTGATTTGTTGCCCCCTGTCGCCTCTTACGATAGTGTAGTGGCGGTGTAAGAATACACAATACCACACATCATCCCGTGGGTGTCGTAGAAGTGTACAGCAATGACAGAAATATGTAGTCAATGATAGAAGAATAAATGTCAAATATTTTGAAAACTAAAATTATATTTTAATTTTTGCAGTGCTTGGATTTGGATTTATCAGGTTACACAGAGGTAGGTACTTTAATGTTACTATTCGTATTCTTAGGATATCATCTAGACATGATGGTTTAATTATATATCTTTCTTTTTAGGGTATTGATTCCGAAGCTTTTCAGGTAATACCAAATGCATTTAATGAGAAATCAATTATTAGTACAGTAGTACATTAATTTAAAAAAATTATTCCTTTCACAGACTGGAAAGTCAAGAGGAGATGAGGTACTTATTTAGTTTACAATTATAGAATTTGTAGAACATTTGCAGCCATTACTGAAAATTCTTATAATTTTGCAGATCACGCAGCGTAAGGATTTTGAGGTATTACAAAGTGTCACATTTTATGTCACTAAAACCCTTTTTTGAATTTTTATGTGCGGTGTTGTTGGCTGCAACTTAAAAAGAAGTTATGCGATACCTACGCCTGTTTCTTGCTAAGGTCAATCAAATGTAGCTGTTGTAAAAATTATTACAATTTAATTCCATTGTTTTGGAAAAGTTTTGTGGTGTGAATTTTTACTAAAAAATATTATTTTTAACCTACTTTAAAAGAGGTTTCTAATTTGACTGCATTTTTTTGATCTGCATTTTTAATGTACCTCAGAATTCAATCAATCAATTTTGATGATTATTTTTTTAATTGAAAGCTGAAGCTAGAGAAGCACCTTCCCATGTGGTCGAACATTTTGATCAATACTACCAACTGATCGGTAGTTATCTTTATTCGTTAACTGAGTTATCTTTAATAATGCGTACCTTTTTAATTGACTTCGACAACATTGATGATCCTCATTTTATTTATATTGAAGTCGGTTGTATAATATTTTTAATTTTACCATTTATTTTACGTACATAACGTAGAACGTAGAATTATTTTACAGTACACAGTACAGGGAGCAGGGAGCAAACGAGCATGCGGCTCACCTGATGATAAATGTTCGCCTCTGCCCTCCGAACCCCTGAACATCCGAGAAATGACAGGTGCAGTCCGGCATCCGGCAATATTGCTAATAATGAAAAAAAAGGGTGGTTTGCCTGTGTTTTTTTGTTTCTTTTTTATCGATATAATGGACTGTGTGAAATAATTACATATTAACTCTTCTTAACAGAATCAAAGCAATTGTTTGATAAATGAAATGGATAATTTTTTGCCATTATTTTTTCCAGATGGAAACGTCACGATGTACTGAGGTATGAAATATTTTTGTTTTATTTTTTATATTTCTCAAACTGACACTGGGGTTACCTCTGTCGCTAGTATGACATTTTCAGAATACCAATCCGAAATACCCTATTTTGTATAGTCAGATACTGCTCTATAAATACTCGTATGTATAAATGTAATGCACAAAAATAATATCTGAACTGAACGTCTTTATGAAATATGAGGAAGGTAATTTTTTTTGAAGAATTACACTTAATTTTAGCGAATGTGTACCAGTTAATACACATTTCGGGAATTCAAACGACAGCTGTATAACATACCGTCCGTGTTTCATTAATTGGGTAATAATGATGCATTATAAAATGCTTTAGCTTTTTTTTATTTTTTATGAAAAATATCACATTTTTGTATAAATATACCTTTCTATTTATTACATAATTTGTATATATTTAAAACAAGTTAGTGCATAAAATATTAGTATATTTACACGCTCGTACACCATGACCAGTGACTATACAAGCTTTGTTATTTTTAGCGGTCTTTAGATAAGATATCCGATCCTAAGGAAACTAAGAGCAACCAGACTATGGGATTGTCTTGCCCTTGCGATGCCAGCACTGGTAAGGTAATAGATTTTTACGCGACGCATTATTAGTAATCACGTCTCTTATAACAAAACTAATTTCAGCTGCTTATGACCCAAGAATTGACGAAATGCAAGAAGTGATAATCAGTAAAGATGCTAAATTGAACGCGATGCGAAATACAATTGCCGTAAGTATTGTATTTGATACTTATGTTACCTCCAATCTATATAATCCGGTATTGATTAGAATACCTAAAATATTCAGCCAATGTATAAAATATTGTTTATTACATACTTTACCTAAGCATTATATACAACGCCGAATGTTTAACCGGCAATGTATTGAATAAGAGGTAACGGAATAGAAAGAGTGCAGTTCACGGTTTGTCTTAAGATACTAATTACGAATATGACGTCCCCAGTTAAGACATGACTAAACCTAACCTAATCTACCTATTTTTTTACTGCCCAGAAATAATTGAGCACTCAGAAATCCTTTCAGTTGAGTTAGGTTACAATTTTCTTTTTAATTTTTCTCAAGAACGGTGTATTACCATTTCATGGGAGTGGTGTCGTAGTGACACGGACACTCCCCTATCCCCGCTCTCTCCCTCCCTCCTTCCAAACGATACAAAATTATTACCTGATCGACATTTAATGAAACTATTTATTTTTAATTCTTTATGTTACCTTTATGAAATGAATGAAATTTGTTGATTTACAGTAAAGAAATTATATTTTATTTGATAACATTTTATACTTTACCCGTTCTCCTCATGGTATTCTATAGATTATCAAAGTATTACATACAACACTTAGGAAAAATATGCAAGAGTAAATGATAGAATACATATTTCACACATTGCCTAAACAAACCCGGCATTACATGGAACGACTAGGTATTATACATAATGACTAAATTATATGACTAAATTATATATGCATTGCCAGTAACATTGTATTGATGACCATAGAATACTATATTGTGTATGTATTATCGTATTCTATGATGATGACGGAAGCACTACTAGCCATTTCTAACAACGTTGACAACTGCCATTTAGGTAAGTAGTTACGTTGTACCAGTTCTGGCGCACGACGTTCGTCGACTCACAATCCTAAAAAAAAAAAAAAAAAAAAAAAAAGGTTTTGGCATGCTCTGATCACGAATCTGCGGTCCATTTTTGCGTAGGATGCACGGTTCCGGAGATGTGCAGATCAATTAACTCTTATCTAATTGATATCCGCTACGAGCCTCAACCGTCATTAGCGCTCCATTGTCCTTATCTACTTATCTATTGTTGATTGACTACCGTCATTATCTATTATTCGTCCAGCGTGTGGGTCGGCTTATGCTATTGTATTATACTCCTTTGTTCCTATCTACAACACTAATCTGAATCATCAATAAAACACATTACCTAATTTTGTTAAAATTTTTATTTATGAAATACAAAATCTTATTACTTATTATCTATAAAATAGGAGCGAAACATCTCATCCACTAAAATATCGTTGTACAATGTGTTCTCTGTAAATATACTCGTAAAACTATGCATTGAACATCCCTGAAACTTATATAGCAAATACATTAAGCAATATTCGCCACAAACTGAAGTCCACTCATTCTGAATCCTATCAACATTCCAGTTCCATCTTTTACAATTTCTTTTAAAAAACTCTAGATGATATCGTACAGGTGCCCGTCCGAATGAATCAAAATATTGACCGACGTCATTCGTATCGATATATAAAGATACCCAATGTGACCCTGGTTTATCATCTGTATCCAAATTGCATATTATATACGTTGGTACGTGGGTGTACATGGGTAGTTTATTGGCAGCATAAACATTATTTTCTAGAGTGGGGTGAATCTTTTTCAGATGTTGTTGTACATCTAGTGTATCCATAATATTACTGCTATTAGTAGATTATTACAGTACCAATCTACTCAATGACTAATATAGGAATGATCAATTATAGTGATATCTAAATATTAAATTGCTTTCTTTGTGTTATACAAAACGTATTTGAGTCACCAATACACTGAACAAGACATGACAGGAAGGACGTAGGAATGTAGAGATAACCAACAGAATGTAAGGTAAGCTTGTTGACGCATAAAGATACTATCAATTCTACTGCAGAAATTCTTTAGATTAGAATTATTACTCACTGGTACTATATAAGACCAAGCAACTGCAGTCATGGAGTTAGTGTATGGTCGTTTGACCGCAGTGGATCTATCAATACTACGTTTGTGTTACTTCAACGCATCAAAGGCCATGGATGTAAGTGTTTATTCTATTGACAAACTTACTTTTCTTTCTGTTATTTTCTTACGTGTGTATGATTTAGTGTTAACAAATTATATTTAAATATTATGTGTGTGTATATGGTTAAGCCGTGGTAGCTCAGATGGTTAGCGCAAAATGTAAACTTCATAGTACACGTCCCGGGTTCGATCCCCGCCGGCACCAATTAAATTGTTAATTACAATTTTAAGTGCTGATTTACCACGTGCTCAGCGGTGAAGGAAAACATCGTGAGGAATGCATGTCTGAGAAAATTTCGAAGGCATGTGAAGTTTGCCAACACGCATTGAGGTATCGCAGCGAACATTTCCTAGCCCTAAAACCCTCTCAGAAATGAGAGGAGGCCTATGTTCAGCAGTGGACTTTAATAGGTTGTAACTTTAGCTTTTTTAACTTTTATGATTAAGTGTTAACAAATTGATATTAACATGATAACTGTGTTGTTGCAGAAATCATTGAGCTTCGATGAAAATACCTATAAACAGTATTACTACTCGCCACTCTCCCCTCAAGAAGAGAGTGATGACATCGTCATTAATAATAACACATGCGATGGTGGAAAAAGAAAATCGCAATCGATTGATCATTTTTTTGAAGCTGAATCAAAAATAAAAAAGAGGAAGCTGTTATCATCAACCGTAGCACGAGCCGCTAGAGATGGTGTATCATACATTTCTACTAATTCTGACGACGGAGACCAAGCGACGCATCTCATCAAAATTGAAATGTACGATATGAAGAAGCTATCCAAGATTCCAACTACTGATCATTGGAAACATGCTTCCACGAGGATTAAATATTACGTAAAGACTAATAAGGATAGCATCTACGACAACACAAACGCCCTCGTATACAATATTACAAAGACAATAGCAGAAAGTGAAAAAGTTAAAAAATACTTTTTTAACAATGACAGTCATTAGCTGATCATTAGTGAATGTGATTCTGTTTACTTAAATTACAGGAAGACAAGAGCAGAAGAAAGAGATGAGTGTGGCATACGTGTACAGAACACATCATTGAAGAACAAAACTACAACACTGAGTGGAGATGAAAACGAGAATATGCAGTACTCAAGAGCTGAATATCCATTCTTCAGTTCAAAATCTAGCCGGTTGCTCAGTTTCGAAAACTGGCCTCTCGTTATGCGACAGAAACCTGAAGATCTTGCAGAAGCCGGTTTCTTTTATACTGGCCATGCAGACAGGACCAAGTGTTTCCATTGTGGTGGTGGCTTAAAAGATTGGGAAGATGATGATGATCCTTGGCAGCAGCATGTTCAGTGGTTTAGTCAGTGTGCTTATGTAAAATTTAAACTCGAACAGAGTTTTGTATTAGATTAAATAGAATATTTATAAAGAAATAAAAAATAATATATTGCATACAATTTGTTTTATTTAATTTTATAATGTTTCACATAGTTACATACACACAAAATGCATTACACATAACTCATAAAATCTAACACACAACACATATTATAACCTTAACTACTATAGTCTACAGTAACATTTCTGTTTTTATCTATCTCAATAATATTATCAAACTCAGCATAAACTATACAGTTAATTGTTTGTATTAGTGAGGATTCAAATCGTACTTCTAATCTTACACTACCATGCTTTATGAGATTCCAATGAGCTGATGAGTTGGCTGATAAATCAGGAGTTAAGTCAAATGCTAATAGACAGTAACCTTTGGCATACTGTTCACAAGAGATTCCATTTCCTTCATTAAGAAAGTGAATACCAGTTCCCGAGAATAGAGTATGATATGCTGATGTAAATATGCTATTATTAAAAGATGGTTGCAAAGCTTTTGAAGGTATTTGTTGACCATCAATATATAAGCTGAAAGAATTAATACCATAGTTTTCAAAGTTAAATGGATTTTTAGTAAGGGAACCATTAAATGCAGAATTGTTCACAAATCCAATTATACATCTTTTGGGTACCGCCCTAAAAATATATTATCAAGAGTTTTTCCTTGAACACCCGATGGAATTGTTAAAACTTTTACTTCAGCTCGAGTAATAGGATATTTAGCAGTGGTAGAAGCTAAAACTTTTTGATGTGCGAGTAATACACTTGGATTAATTCGTGCTCGTCGAACAATAAGAGTTGCGTCCGTAATGCAAACTTTAAACTTTACATCGTTTGACCCAGCAATTAAATTAAAGCTCTCTCTCGGATCGAACCAATTTAACACTCATTTCAACACCATTAATTAAAAATTTATCTTGGTTGAAAATGTCACCGTGAAGATGACCAATCATTTCTATTTCCTTACTTTCACTAATCAATTCCTGTCTTTTAACAAATCCTATGTTTTTACCATCCGTAGAATCCATTTTTCCTGCTGTATCATCATACCAAAGACTACAAGTAAGATGAGATTGTTTAGCAGCAGGAGCATAGTTTAAAAGGGTTTCCATGTATGCTCGATATGCATAGGTATTATTAGGTGGTGATACAAGTTTTTGGTTTAAATAAACATCAAGTTGACTAAAAAGTGAATGCAGCCAATTATTTACAGGTGCTACTATTGTAGTAGATATCAAGTTAGTTGAATCTTGATTTAATACTTTTGCCTTTATGTGGAGTAATGTATGAGACAAATCTATGTAGTCATCGCCTGTCCCAGGAACTTGAAACTCGATAGGTCCATCATCACCAAGAGATGAAATTGGTTTATAATGAATCCACAATCCATTTTCAATGCTAGTTTGTGTAGACGGTAGTGCAAACAAATCCAATTCTGACTTAACGCACTCGCAAGAATGATTATGAAGGAAAGACATATTTAATTTGAAAATATATCTTTGTTATTTTTTGGCTTTAGACCAAGTTTTTTCGCAGCTTTCACTTTAG